GAAGATAAAGGTACAAAATTAAGTTGGAGTCAAGTAAACGGTGAAAACTAAAAATGCATACAATAAGAACGGCTGCAAAGCGGAAGCCGGGCTGAAAGAGGCTGTCAAATGTGCTATCCCCTCCCTTCTGGGACTGGTCAGGCTGTAGTAAAATATATTTGTTTGGGAAATAGCCCAGTTCTTCTGTCCATTTCAACAACTGCTGCAAACATACCACCCTTCCACAGAGCCTAAGAATGCAAATGTACAAAGTCAGGGGTCTGGAGAGAAGCAAGGAAAACCTTAGTCAGAGGCAAAATAAAAATGCTTAGGCCCAATATTAACTCGATTAACTTCTGCTATTGTTGGTACAGATGATTTTACTAGAAAATATTTACAGCTTTTTAAAAACATGATATACTGCAGAAAATTGCCTAACAGCATCCATGTGTATGTTTAACCCACATTGCTTAATTATACAATAAAGGTATACCCAATAAAAGCGCCAGACTTTGAAACATGTTGTGTACCATGGTTATGAAACTCTAGCTTATTAAAAAAAACAAAGTAGTCACTATGTGACAGGCACTAGTTAATTAAAAATACAAGCCTTAAATGACAATGATTTTTATTCTTCTGTATGTGTTTACTTATCCTATTTCCTACTTTGTCCTACTTAATTAAAGATGACATTTAATTTGGAGATAGTTTGTAACCGGAAAAAAGTGTTACATAGTTTATACTTCAGGATTGAAATATAAACATAGTATCTTGAAGACATCTCCAGCAATGTAAACCCCTTCATTAGACACAGTTACTTTGAATAGTTGATAGTTCATTGGGTTTACTTTGATAAACCTGTGAAAATAAAATGCTAAAGTAATTACTGTTACTACTTTCCTTAAAAATGTAAAGTAGTTAAAATTTCCTAGACAACAAGGGAGGCCAAGTTACAAAGAACCTGAATAAAGTAGCAGCTGGTCATACTGAATGTCAATCAAAAAAAAAAAAAAAAAAAGAGGTCATGTGTAATCTAGAGAAGGCTCTCTCCTTTTTTTAAATTCCAAGAGTGGGCTTCAGCACTTGGGTTTCTTCTTTTCTCGTTTTTAACTACACGGCAGATTTAAACCCTCACATATAAAACCCTGGCTTCCCTGAGAAGGCAAAGCTTCTAAGCTGGATGTGAGAAAATGTTATCTAACTGGTGTGGGAGTCTAATGTTGGTAAAAAGAATTCCACGGTGAGGTTCTGGTTAGCCAGCAAGACAGAATTCAGATGACTTAATATTCTTTGGATACCTTTTGGGGTACACTCTTCTAAAAAAAGAGAAATGTATTACAAAATAGTAACTTGTTTAGCAATTCAGCATCCATAGGAACTCAAATGCAGCCCAGAGGCTGGGTATTTCCTTCCAAGTGAGGCTTCCCTTGCACAATAAAGATAAGCATTTGCAATGGTCCATTTCTGCCTAAGTGAACATATAGCCTTGCTGGGCTCTCCCTTATAGCAGCCCCTGACAACAGCCCAGCAGCAGCCCTGTTTGATCTCCCCTGCTTCCTTAATTTGGGTTGTCAAGGTTCAGCAGTTGGAGGCTGTTTACTTTACTTTTCAAAAAAAAAAAAAAGAAGAAGAAGAAAAAAGAAAGAAAAAAGTGAATCCCCCCCCATTACAATGACTAATCCAAAATGGGGGGAGCAGGGGAGCTGCAGCCACTGGCAAGATGCTAAACCTTTCCCCCTTTGCACTAAGATTTTAGCTGACACTTTTTGAATGGTAAGTGGTTGGATTTCATTTATACTTTTAGTGCTCTTTAATTATGAGACATTTGAAAAATGGGGGGGGGTGCAAACCCATTTCAATTTTTTTTTTAAATATGAGCTCAGTTTTTTTTTTCTTTTTCCAGACTCAAAAGAAGTGGCTAATTCAAAATCAAAACTAGAATGGAATTCTTGAAAATGACCTGAAAATAGAAATAAGCAGGGATTCAGCTGCCTCCATTAAGCAAACAACCCCTGGATATCAAACACCTCAATCGTACCAGCCCCCATCCAAACCAAGCTAGCCCCAAAACTGATTCTCAATGTGAAAAAAATAATAATAAAATAAAATAAGAGTGCAAAACATTTTCAGGAACAGAAAAAAAATCCTTAGATATCCTTGGGTGTTTTTCTCGGCTCGGATATTTTGCAAGTTCTTCCAGGCTATAGCCCAAGGAAGGTGAAGTGCATTGGACTTCAATGGGTAGACTCCTCAACTGCAATCCAAAATGTTCCCGCAGCCTTCTTGCTTAAAGAGCAGAGACAAAATAAGAAATCTGAACTTGGAAAATACCTGGAGACTGCCGTAAGAGCAACCCTGGGCCCTCAGCAGTAACGCTGGATAAGCTCAAATGAAATGTTCATAGTAATTTCATTATTCTACTTAAACCACCCAGATGAAAGGGCTGGGGGTGGGGTGGGGGAAGAAGCTTCATTTGGGGTCCTCTAGTCAAGCAATAAGAAAATAAATTAAGAGGAAAGCGCAGGATGAGCCTAACCTAAATCAATACACTCTGAAATCAGCCCAGCTAGGGTATTGGACACAATGGCTTGGAAATAATTAATAGTTATAAGGGGGGAGCGGGCTGAGAAGGAGAGCAAGAGATGTCACATTTTACACTTCACATTCCACGCTAACTTTGATCTCCAGATTTTCGGATTCAGGGAAGAAAGTGAGAGAAAAGGAAGAAAGCAGGTTCCGTATTTGCTAGCCCCTACCAGCCTGATAGGCACATACCTTGCTCCCTGCGCCTGGTCACAACGATCTGGTTGCCCAGGCTAGCTGGTACAGAGCCCCGGCTTCCCCGCTTACCCCCCCTCTCCCGCGCGCCTGCCACAGCCGCCTCGACTTACCCACCGAGTCCAGGGAGGAGGCGCCGGCAGCTCCACGCTTCTCCGCGCCGCCGCTGCCCCTCTCCCGTGCTGCCCCTCTCCCGTTCGTTCGCCCGCCGTGCGCCGTCCTCTTGGGGCAAACTTTCTGGGTCTGCGATCGACAAGAGACCGGGACGACCCTCAGCAAGTCTTCCTTCCGTGAAGGTTTCGGGGTGGGGGGAGATCGAAGGGGACGAGGTGATTAGGCGGAAGAGGCCAGGACCACAGATAGAGATGGCAACCCGACGGAGAAGACCCCCCCGAGCGCGCGGGGACAGGGGAGGAGGATGCGCCGCGGGGAATCCCTGCAGGGATCCGGAGACCCGGAGCGCGGCCTGAGCCTTAGTCTCAGCACCTTCCCGGGATCTTACAAAGTTGCAACAACAAAAAAGGAGGGGCAGGACCGGGGGAAAGGGGTGGGATAGGGCTGAGATGGCAGGCGCAAGGTTTGGAGTTACAACTGTTTATTTAGTCCTTAGGCTCCCAGGGGGCGGGAGCTGCGCGGGAATGGGGGTGCTGCAGGCAGCAATTTCCAAGCAAACCG